ATGTGTCCTTGTGTCAGTTAGGTGCAGTTCGGAGTCCATCAGAGTTTGTTTTATTCATGAAATCAAACGAGTTCTTCTGGAAATTACTTTTGATCGCCAGCAACAAGGGGCAGGATTCAGACCAGTGACCTGGAAGGAAGGGTTATCGTTTTTGTTATCGTTCCTCTAAGACATTCAGCCTGCTCCAGCCAGCTCCTTGGAAGGAGCTCGGCTAACGGCTGAGGAGGAAAAGGAGAAATCCTGTTAGAAAGAGATAAGGTTCTTGCCCACCTAGATATTCCATTACGTTACGTTCACATTTAAATGTTTATATTATAATGGAAGTCTTCACTTCTGTGTTTGTCATGAAAACTCAACTTTAATGTTAATTATATACTATATAAAAGACTAATCCTCATCAAGTGGAAGTCACCTCTTTTTCCTAGATGAGTAGCTAGCTGGCAGGTCTCACTGATCTATCTGTTACACAAAGAATTTGCACAAAATGCACCAAATTGTTTTCATGGAGGCTTGGACTGTTTTTCTCCTTTCGATTAACCCCTTTCTCATGAACATCTCTCTGTCTCCTCACTTTTTATTCTCATGTGCATTTTCCTGCGTATTTTTGCATGTTATTCAAATTCAGCAATAGTCAAATGTTAAAATTAATTAAATGTAAATTAGTTTTTGAAAAAGGAAAGAGAAAAGGGTTCTGTAAAAGGCTACAGCGTGCGTCTAATTTACCTCTGCAATTGAAATGGCTGCCTCGCCTCGCTGTCGTTCTCTAGGGTAAAAAACAATTTGAATGTGCTTTGAGAAATTAGTAGAGCTGTAGTAAGAGAGCTTTCTACCCAATTTCTTGTGACTTTTTCAAGTCCTGTACCCATGTTGACATGCGTAATTATCTGGTGCTGGCTTAGGCAGCAAGTGCCTTGAGAAGGTGATAGTGGTTGTACGTGGTGTTCGTGGGCTGGGTGTTGGGCCACTCACTGCTGCAGGAACCTTCTCAGTGAGATGGACGGGGTAGCTCCTCAGTCATTAACGCCAGGACTGGATAAGGAAGCTGTCCTTGAAACACCCCATTTCTCAACATGAGCACACTTGAGGCCATACCTGCTGGTTTTTGGTGGAGACCACACCTTCCTGTTGAGAAGACACCCACTAGGATGGCCCTTAAATCCTTACAAAGCAACGTGGCCATACAGTAGATGCAGCTTTCAGGTATTTGTCCACAGCTGTGTTTTTGGAGGTTTGAACRCTTTTTCTTCTTCCTGGCTTTTTAAGTCAGAATAAAACTCAGGATAATTTTAAACAGTGTGCAGGAAGGGCCAGCTCTAGTTCTGCTGATTGCTTCGCTAACCAAGGGAGGAACTGATCCGTTTTAGGATTCGGGTCCCCCTGGTTGCTGGCGTTGGAGGTCCTCTCCTCTGGCCATAGTGGCCCGTGCAGGACTATCATCACCCATGCAGGAGCAGCTGCAGGGCCTGTGAAAGAAGCAGCTCTGCCACAGTCACTGAATCTCCCCTTGTTTTTGCCACGTCCTTGTCTCTGAAAGCCAGAACGCTTTCCTGCCTGTGGTACTCATTTCTCATTCAACCTATGTGACGTGCCTCAGTTTTCCTACCTATGAAATGAGGCTTAATTGCAGAATGCCAAGATGACATTGAGAAGCTTAGTTACGGCAGAGGTTTTTAGAGTTTTCCCTGAAAGTTGTTAAAAAGACCTGAAAGCAGTTCTTTAGCTATTAACTCCTTAAAAGAGGAGCAAAAAAGTGAATCTGAGTCAGGCTTAAATATAGCCTCTGAAACATGACTGTTGTGATGATTATGTCTTCCTCACAAATCAGTGCTGGGAGATTGAAGTTTCTTTTAGAAATTGCTTGGCAATCAGAGGAGCTGTGAATTGGGGAAATCTGGCAAGCTGACGGGAAGATTGAAAGAGCAGTCATCAGCAATGTCTCCTTCACAGTGATGGCACGGGGGTGAGGAAAGCGAGAGGAACGCGGATTTTAGCTCGATTGCTTTATAGATAGTCTAATCTTGTTAGCCTTGATTGGCTCCAGTTACTATGCCAACATTCGTATCCACCTGTAGCTCCCACCCGGTTAGAAAAAGGTAGGAATTATTCCACTGTTTTCAAGCATTTCTGCTTCTCTGTAGGCTGCGGTTTCCCTGTCAAATCCAGTCGTGTTTGGCTGCCAACAAATGCCGCCTGGCAGCACGTGCTGGAAGGAGGTGAGCAAATCTTGCGGCCCAAACTTTATTATATAAAGTCCTATTTGTCATCTTCTTCTCTTTTTACCCTGGACCCTATGGGCATAGGCTCATCCCTGTGACTCTCAATTTATTTTATAACGTGTCCTGTAGTGTTAGTGTCAGCAATGTTTGTATGTGGTAGGGCAGAAAGACTCTGTGGGTTGATAGCAAATATCTGGGGCAATAATCAGAATCCAAATCAGTGGAGGGAGCAGCTGGGCCATGGGCCAAAGAATAGATTTCCTCCTCTAGCAAGTTACCCATGTRCTTGCTGTAGCGCAGTTTGTTTGGCGAGCACCTAAGCAGCCTTTAGGAGGGAGCCTTTTCCATGCCTCTCGCTCCCCAGGAGACACAGGTCTGCAGGCGCATGGCAGGCACACTGAGGTCCCTGGTTGGACCCACCGGTGTGTRAGCAAGCAATATTATCTTTGCTGATGGAGCTTCCCTCTAGGAGAGGATGCACTGAAGAAGAGGATATACTGGTGCTAAAACCATAGCAAAACAGATTGAACAGGTTGGAAGACTGATCTACAGCTGAGCCTTTACATGAGATGAGGAACGAAGGAGAAGGATTCCGGAATCGTGTTGCAGATTGTAGGAACCGTGGAGGTGATCGTGGCATCACCATGCGACAGGGCCACGCAAGTCAGAGARCCCAAAGAGAGTCCAACACGGAAGCCAGGTCCCTAAGACGGTTTTAATTGATTCATTTATCTCACCGAAAATAAATAAATAAATGGGAGTTAATTTTACTTGTAAATTTTTCGCATAATGTGAGTAATAATTTGTACCTAACATGGATATATTCACACGTGCACATATTTATTTTTGTATATAATATAGGGGCATGGTTAATTCTGCAGCAGCTGAAGAATAGCCTTAATTTAACTCAAATAAAATTTTAAGTAGACATGAAGAAAAAAGGAAAAAAGCCTTTGCTGGTGTTAACCTGTTAAATTATCCTGTAGCTGCCTTTTTGAAACGTACCTTAAGCCCCGGATAGCGATTCTAATCATATACAGTGACACACACTGTAGGTACAGACCAAGCAGTAAGGACAAAGGCTTTTTTCTTTTTTTCATGAGTGTTTTGGGGTTTTCTTTGTTGATTGGTTGGTTGTTCTTCTTATTTGGTGAAAACTTTATGGACTATTTAAATGCTGCCCRTGTTCCGGTGCCAGATTCTGCATTGCTGTCTTCTGTGACAAAAGCCACACCAGAAACCTGGAGAACGGGATTYTCTGTAAAGTAGTTATTCCAAAAAGATTGAATTGATTGAAAAGATGAACTATTTCAAAACTGGTAATGCAGCAGTCCAGAGAACACAGGGAAAAGTAGAGATGCTTCCATAAACTTAAGGCTGCACTTAAAAGTTGAAGTTTAGCATGTCTGTTCCTTAACAATTTCAAGTTTTCTTATGTTCACAACGTTCACAATTTTTAAAAGTCACCAATACGTTTTTGAAAGCATCTGTATAAAGTTCATCTTTATAACCAGTTACGAACAGGGAGGTATTTATGAAGATCAAACACCTCATTTGAGAAGTACCCAAGAGCATTGACAGTACGAGGCGAGCGCAGGCCTYGTGTCCTCTGCTCTGCTGGGGACCTGCATTTGTTGCCAAGTGTGTTCTGCTGCATCACCTCAGAAAACAGATTGCAGTTTGAATTGCAGATCATCTAAGAGAGGAACTGGGTGGAAGCTTAGGCCAGACCCTGGTCAGCAGTGAGCAGGTTATCCTTGTCATTCCCCARTTAAGTGTCACAATTCTACGTGTCACCAGACATCTCTAAATCCTTACCAAARAGAAAAGTGTGTCAGGAGGGTTTTTTGTTGCGTGTTCTGCTTCTGCTGTTGTCTGCTCCTGATGTGCTAGCTGCTGAATTTACAGAGCACCTTTTTAAATCCTGACTTTGCTGGAGGTGTTGGGCTGCCCTGGGGTTTGGGGTTTAGGCTTTATGGGTGTTAGTGCTTTCGTTGAGTCACGAGCTATTTCCAGTGTTGTTCGGTTGGCCTGGCTCTCTGGTCACCTGTGACGTACTCCAAAATGCAGCCACACTGGGTTGTGTGAAACGGGAAAATCTGTTCCGTGCGTGTGTTCTAATGGATGTGACGGTCATTAAGTATATGAGGCTTCTGACGTTGTAATCAGATGTGATTCAGTCTGTTAAATATCCATGAAGCAACATCTGCTTCACAGAGTGACCTTCTGCTAAAGAATACTTAGCATCTATTAGCAGATCATAGTGCAGATCTGCCTTATTTGAAATGCACTAAACTGGAGTAGTCTACTGCTGTTTAGCAGCTAGCTTGTAATAATTTATTGCAGTTAAATAAAGCTTAAAAAACTCCATTAAATAATTATAGGGATTATATGCATTTCGAAAACCTTTGTGTTCTACTGAAATTACCCATTTAATTTCAGGGTTGGTTTGTTAAAAAAAGCTGAAATCTAAAGGCACATTAGGGGATCTGTCAGATGCTGTTTCCTGTAGGTGTTAATAAAACCAGATTTTAAAAAAAAAAAAAAAAAAGAAACAAATTAAAACCAAAAGCAATTTTACCATCTGCTGTATATTAATTAGAACTTTGCGTATCAAGGGTAAACTTGCTCTTAGAGAATGTCACCGAGTGCCTGCTAATAGAATAACATGCAAATCTATTAGATGATGGGATCGCGTCGGGTTCTGCGTTCTCYGCCCGCGATGCATAGCACATATATAGCCGAGGCCACGCGTAACAAACTCCGATTCTCCTCTCTCCTCAGAGCAACCTGCAAATACCCAAGGGCAGTCGACGCTGCAGCCGTTGCCTCCGCCGCACAAGCAGCACTCGGCACAGCACCACCCGTCCATCACCTCGCTTAACAGGAACTCCCTGAGCAACAGGAGGACCCAGAGCCCGGCGCCGCCGGCTGCGCTGCCCGCCGAGCTGCAAACCACACCTGAGTCCGTCCAGCTGCAGGACAGCTGGGTCCTTGGCAGTAATGCGCCTCTGGAAAGCAGGTAAYGGCTCCTCTCTGGAAAAAGCACAGGCACGACCTGGTGAGGGGGTCACAACTGCCACTTCCCTTTACTCAGCCAGCAAAGAGGAAAACTGCAGTACTTATAAAACTAAATAAATAATCCATGTTTTTTTTTTTTTTCCTCTGTTTTCCTTTATAACATGTTTTGCAAAGTAATTGGATTTAGAGAATATGTTAATTTGTAGGACAAGTATTTTCCTTCCTGTTCGTAACACATGACTATGGGCTGGAAAAATTTCCTGCCTCGTCTGCCCAGCTTGTATTTGTCAAACATACCCTGCCCTGCAAATCAAACATCAGGGGGCTTTCACAAACTCCTGTTTCCCTCTAGCACTAGCCCCTGAAGAAACTGAGACACTGAAGAAGTTGAGGCAAGATGTTTCTAAACTTTTCTAGGGTCTCATAAGATGGAAGGACTCACTTAGTTCTGCTATAATGATAAATTTGTCCTCACTCCTTCTTGTCTTTGAGAACTGATAACTGGTTCTAGGAAAGAAAGCAGCTAATATAAAGGGTGACACTAGCTTCTTTGGATGCAGAATGATGTATGATGCAGAATGATCTGTAAAATTACTTTATAGGACCAACTGGCAGAGAGCTGAATTTACCTAGAGTGATTAATTAATACTCCTGTAACAGTCAATCAGCACTAATTTTCTATTAGCAAGAACTGTAATAATGCAATTTAGTCATCAAACTGAACATTTATACCTGTATTAAAGCCGACAGTAGTTCTTGAAAATAGTTACGAAGTCATTTATGTGGATTCTTTGAATCCTTTTAAATCGTATTTTGTAGTGGTCTAAGAGATAGTCAATCTGATTTTGCCTAAGTAGTTTACAGTCTATGCTACCTTAAAAGGCAGCATATATTAGTCACTTTTGTCCCTATAGATATTGCAGGCAATGTTTCTGTTAAGCTTTTGGGACTGGCTATCCCATTTCCTAGCGTTCATAGGCCCTGCTGCATTGCTTAGGAAGTGTAAACACTGTGGGACAGGATTCCAGTGCAGGGATTTCATCATCATGTTCATACAATTTTGTAGATATGATAAGAAAAGTTTTCTTACAGAACTCATGAGTGTGTAGTGAGGGGGGAGTACACCAAGAAGATGTTGGATATTTTCAGGATAGTTATTTGGTCTTCAGAACCTGTAAGATCTTTTATATTTCCTTATGTTGCCATACAGTTCTTAACGTGTTTGTAAAGAAATAGTATTTTAACAAGAATAACACTTCCATCTTCGAATCTTTTAAATGTTGCTGATGAAAAGCTAGGGGTATTTTAATGTTTAAGTTTTGAACACGTGTGCATGAGCTGAAATGTGAAAATTGCACTTAAAAACTGACACAGCCCTATTGTCATTTCTCTAATATTCACATTTGGCTGGAACTCTTGAGGTGAAGAACCCATCTTATTTGTCATTGATTTTTTCCCTTTTTAGTTAAGCTTCCCTATCGAGTGCGATTCTTGGGCTCAGTTTCAGCTATATTAACAACTCTGTACGAGGTCTCTTCCTTCATCCATTTTTCTGCCTAAGAGACAATTTATTTCTTCTTTAGCAGTATTTTGCCTTATGTAGGTATTTAGTTCTCTTCTTCCTCTTCTTCTTCCTTTTCTTCTGTCTTTTCTTCTGTCTCTTCTTCTGCCTCTTCTTTCTGTTCTATCTTAGGTGCCTGCCATTTAGATGTGTAGAATGTGAATGTCAGCATATATATCTAGCCATGTTTCTGTCTCTTTAGGCCCATATTGGTGATGAGTGGCATAAAAATGATATAAAACTCGCTGTGCTGTAAGCTGGAGAGTGAGGAGGCTGATTTTGGGCACGTGCATGTACATGAGCAGAGTGTATTTGGAAAATCTGGAGGAGATTTCATTACCTATTGTTTTGCAGTACTGATGTTTTGGGGCTGTTTTTTGATATACGTTTTATAAGGGTGGATTCAGTTTTGTATTTAGTATGTTACGGTATGACTTGGCTCTGCATAGAGTTACTGCTTTTGTGTAAAGCATTGCTGTTACTGATTAAACGGATGAACTATGAGGTGMCTGATCGATAACATCCAGCAGGAATTCCCAAGCTTTTTTTGTATAAAGAGACTATCTTTCCTTAAAATTTCATGAGGGCCTAATACCACAACTAGCTTTACATGAGTGCCTGTTTCATCTTCGATGCCACCTTTCAATGACGGTGAGGTCACTGAGCAGTGGCAAAAATGGTCTTCACTCTATTGGGGGTCAGTAGAATTTACCTTTAAGGAAAAAAGGAAGTAAGAAAAAGCTTTCAGGTTTCCGCAGCCTTCGTGAACTTGTCACTGGCATTTAATGGCCTTTACTATTTGCCTCTTCCCCAGCCTCCTGCGAGTTTGGTTCAGCTGCAGGAGCAATAGACCTGCTGGGGAAGTCAGCACCGTGCTGCAAGAATAACTTTTGAAGGAATAAAATAGCAGAGCTGTGTTGAATAACTTCACAGTTTGTTCCTTGGAACTGTGCTAGTCAGATACCCAAAGTTATACAGACGTGTAGCAGCATGTCAGGTGCCTGAACACTGTAAGCAAGAATTAGGTAAGCAATTGTTAGGAGATTTTTTATTTTAGCTTTTTATTAACCTGCTAGTAGTTAGTAATGTGTTCTTGAGTATCAGAATCAGGTTAGTTAGGTTTTCATGGCTTTGCATTTTAGTAGTATCATTCTTAAAAGTACTTAAGCATACTCAGTAGATCACTTAGTTATGTTTTCCTGTAAATATTTGCCTGTGCAGAATTTCTCATGCATGATTGCCTGTATTAGAGGGGTTTAAGGAAGAATAAGATAAAATTTGGAACTCTGTTCATAAAAGCAAGTTGGTATCATATCTTCCTGTGTTTCTCAGGCAGTATTTCATTAATATCAGCCTTTGAATATCAAGAGAAAATTTACATATTTCACTGCAGGAGTACTTGTCTGAAAATGTGTTGTAACTTCATCCAGAATCTCTACTAAAGAGTTTGCGAATCCAAGAAGGAAGAGCTTTGCCGTTTCGTACCTAATTGGCAATTTTAAACACCTAAGACAGTATTTTATATGCTAAACAGTGGATTTTGTCATTGGTTAGGCCAAAAAACTAGCCGGTTTCTCTTAGGTTATACTAATACAGCAGAGGGTTTTCTCATACCTAAGCAGACAGTTAAAGACAGACTAGGCAGGAACATTACTATATTCGGTTACTTATCTAGCAATTTTACCAAGGAGGAAGAGGTGAAGAAGTGAATGAAGAAATATTTGATGACTGGAAAATATTTTCAGTCTTTTTGAAGCAATTACCGAATGTGTCAGAATTGGTACTGACAAAACCAGTCTGAGGATGTGAGACTTTGTTCTGCAAACTTTATCTAAACATCTTTTAAGCATGTGAAGATTTTAGGAAGTCTGAAAGTATGATGAGCATCAAGCAACCATATGACTTGACTGAGGTGGAGTGCCAGTGAAACTTGTAATTTTGATGCTGATTAAGGTGTTGATAGTTGTTTCCAGGGAAATTTATGTCGGTTTGTGTAGAGGCTGATGGATTGTCTGCAAAAGCACAGTATTGCTGGCAGCAAAAGTCTGCCAAAGTCGCAATTTTGTGCATTTCACCCACTGAAACAGTGTCCGGTTTAACCAAATCCAAAATCAGTAGTTTCTCCATCTTCCCAGTTCTCCCACATGCAGCTGATTAAACACCTATGACCTCCATTCAGGAGAAGGGTAGTACCAGATAAAAGCACAAGCCAGGGATGGAGTTTCCCAAAACTCTGCGTGTCGCTGTGGTGGCCCTACGTGTCACGGTGATTGCCCCGTGTGTCACGGTGGTCGCCCCACATGTCGCTGTGGTCGCCCCATGGGTCGCTGTGGTGGCCCTGCGTGTCATTGTGGTGGCCCCACGTGTCGTTGTGGTGGCCCCGCATGTGGCTGTGGTGGCCCCATGTGTTGCCGTGGTGGCACCATGTGTCGCTGTGGTCGCCCCACATGGCTGTCCTGTCCATGGAGAAGGTGGCGCTCTGCTTTGCGCAGCTCGGCGCAGGCCCCACTGCCCGGTGAAGGCTGACGTGCCGTAATTACGGGGCCACTGTGCAGGCCTCTTGAGACCAACTCATTTGAGACTGAACAAATAAGTTGTGGTGTCTGGTGACAGAGGTTCCTCCTGCAGCATCGTGGGTCGGTTCTAGCAATCCAGGCCCCTACACTTACCAGCTTCCCTGGTGTGACTAGTGGGTTACTTCAGATTCCCGCTTGGAGCGTTTGGCATGTTTCCTGCGTGCAAGCCCCTCGCTGTCACCGTGAAGACACAGAGTTTCAACCATACTGCGTGTTTTACCTCGTGTCTCTCGGGCCAGCACTGATAGCCCAGATTTCAGTCATATTTGCAGAGCGTTGCTTGGGTTTATCATCTATTTCTTCAAATTTATCTAATAGTGAAGGCAAACACAGACACAGCTTCTGGAAGTGTTTCAAAATGACTATTTTAGGTCCAACGAAAAATACAGATACAAACACAGTGCTGATGCCGAGTTAAGCTGCCTCCCCCTCCTTCGTTTTCTGGCCATTTGTGAGATCCTTGGGGATGCAGCCGGAGCCCTGCCTCCATCCCGCTCTGTGCGGCCCGGCGCTCTGCGTGTTTGCTGGCCGTGTCGTGTGGCCAGCGGGACGCCGGCCCTCCCAGTYCCAGGCCACTTCCAGTCCCTTAGCTCCCGCGCCGAAACAAAGTCCCCAAAGAGTTTAGTGCTCTTCAGCCTGCCTTGCCATGGGCAGCAGCCAGGGATTGTACGGATCACCAAATACGGATCACCAAAGGGTAGTGAGCACCTAATGGGAGCCTTGCAACACTGTGTGTTCAAATTGCAATCCAAGATGGAGTTCAAAAGACAGCACGGAAGGCAGAGAGCTCCCACATCCAAAAGGCAGTTTGCAGTTTTGCTCAGATACAGGCGAGGGAACGGGGTCTGTAAATACTATTTTTTT